CCCACACCTGTCCTACCAGGTACTCACTGGCACTCACTCAGCACTGACTCTGCGCTGGGGACCACGCTGCACACTGTACAGACGTAATCTCACTGGATCTCCACAGCAGTCCTGGGAAGTCGGTTCGTCACTGCTTTAATTGATTAGATAATTTGTTTCACTTCCTTGAGTGCATCATCCAAAGTGACACGGCTACTGAGCCACAAACCTGGGACTGAAAACCACTTGAAAATTGAACACTGCTACACCTCGCAGCCACCCTTCTCTGACTCATCACATCACCTCCTGCCGAGCCTTCTAAATGTTTCTAAGCATTCTACAATACAAAAGTGATCTAAGAGAGCACCCCTCTCCCCTACTTAAAATCTGTCAATGATGTTCCAATGCCCTTAGGAGAAAGCCCCACCGGGCCTGAGCACAGCCCAACAGGCCGGCATCCGCGTTCCCTGCACGGCCTCGCCGCCTAACAAACCACGCAGCTCTACACGTGCCGTGTCCAGGACACGGATGCTGACTCCGTACAACCCGGGGCTCGTCTCACTCAAACAATGATCACCCTCTTCAGTGTTCACCCTCTTCATTGCTGACTCTCAGAAAAATATTTTCTCAGGATGAATCAATATCTTTTTCCTTACAACTTCCCGTCATTGATAATGAGCTCCACCCAAAAGAGAAAAGACCTAATCCTCAGTCTCCTTATCTGTAAAGTGTGAATAACAAGGAAATATGTGATGTTTTAAGAGAAATAATATTCATGTGAGGCTGACGGACAATTCCCAACATACAGTAAGCACTCAATATGTGCTTAGTTAATATTAATAAGAATACATTGCATTCCAGCAATCTTAAATCAATGTTTTATGCCTTCGTCCAACAGACTATAGACAAACTGTTGGACAAACCCCTTTGAGCAGATCAGCACAAGCGTACTGGCAGAGGTAAGCGCGGACTCCAGTTACAGCTGCAGCCACCCAGCACTACGGGGCGGGGGCAGTTTGCTCAAACTCTTACATGTTGCTTGAGCATTTATTTGTCCTTATTGAATAAAGACAGGTGTTCTTTAGTCAAAGCTCCTGAAACATAAGTCTTCAAAGATTGATGCAAATTAGCTTTCAAGTACAACACTCTCACTCGAAATTATTTGAAAATGATAGTCTTAGCTCCTCTGGACATCAAAAGGCCATGTTGTTAATGTATCAAACTAAATACACCGAAAGGGTTGTTTAAAAGTAATTAAGGGACTTCCGGGCAAGATGGCGGAGTAGAA